TTCACATGATAGAGAGAGGGTGTTGGGTTCGGAGGCGCGGGGAGTTTGTTATTGGTGCGGTTGTTTCTCGGAAAAGAAGTGCTCAGCGCGTTTCCCGGCCCGCACATACAGAGTGTAGCCGCATGCTTCCAACGGCTTCGTTCGCAGTCACAGAGACATTTGCGAGCACAGATACCTCTCTTCTCATTTGCTACGACCAGTCTGAGTTACCGCCCGCTCCGAGCGGAGAGAAACCGCGTACCGCGACAGAGGCGGCATTGTGTCATTTGGCTGTGGTTTGTCGCGCGCGTTTTACTCCCCGCTCGCCGTTTCAGTTCTGGTCTCGGCATTCGACGCGCTGTTGTTCTAGTTCGGAGCTACAGGCCAGCCTTCTATAGAGCCAGCCTTAAAAGTCAGAACCAGATAGGCGTTGCCCGTTTACTCTGCGCCACGCCTCTGCTTCACATTGACAGGGGGAGGGCTTTGAGTGGGGTTTGTGGATGATGTAGGGAGGAGGCTTGTATTTTTAAAAGGAGGGATTTTGCCACGCATTTCATTCAGTTTGCGGCCGCCCTCAGTCCGCGCATCTGCTATTGCTCTTTTTTGATTGTTGCACCCTTGACCTTCGTGCCTGTACTTGAGCAGCTTGTTCCAACCGCGCTCGCAGCCACTCTATAATCCCTACGAGGCTGCCCGTAGCGATCTCCTAGGCTAGAGGATAGAGCAGTGCACACTTGAACCCCGTGCATACTTCCTCCTGCCTCCCATCTGGCTATGAGACGGTGAAGGTGCCCTCTCCACCGAGGAACCGAAGAGCGGGCCTACTGCTGGCGAACTGGAGGCCTGAGAAGGCCAGAGGGACACTTCCACACTGCTGCTCTTACTAAGCCAGCCAATACGGACTTGCCGGCCAGCCTCCAGTCTACAGCATAGTACACTTGCTGGCCGCCTAAACATACAATCGGGGAGTGGGGGGCATGCGTTCGTGGGATGGACGAAAGGGTACCAAGGTAACACCAGGCACTGCAGCCGTTGCGCCATCCTCCCGTGCCACTTAAGAGTCGCCTGTTTTTTTGTTGTGCACGCGTTGGTCGGGTTTTTCCATTCGGTCCGTTTCGGTACTGTAGTGAGTAAGGTTGTCGATCGCTCGGTCTCTCCTCCCCACACGTTGCCTGGGTGGTGCATCCTCTGCGCCCCATTGTGGCCCGATCCTTTTCTTTTTCTTGCTGACAAACTCATGTACTTGCTGCGCCAGCCAGGCGTAATTCGGTTTCACCATTGCGTAAGTAATTTTTTGGCAGTCGCACACGCTCCAGTCTGCCGCCTCTAGTTGGTCGAACGTCAAAAGAGGAGGAGGAGGAGGAGGAGGAGGAGGAGGAGGAGGAGGAGGCGGAGCCCTACACCCCCCCTCCCTACGCCCAGAAGGGATGGGTGTTCCATTGGCGTCGCCGCGTCGAGGCCCGCCATCCGTTTCGCGGCATGTCGTTTGGGGGCCGTCCAGGGGCACTTCTGAGCTTCTCCCAGTTCTCTCTTGGGCGATGCTGTTCAGCGGCACTGTACCGGGTCCTCACAAACGGGTACTTTAGTAGAAAGTTGGCGAACGTTGCCGCTTTAGGGCCCTGTTCCTGGGGCCATCGTGGGGCGTCGGAAGTCCAGTGGAGTCGAACGCCGACGAAGAAAAAACGGCATGAACAGAAACTTCCGACGGTCCGCGCGGATTTCCTGGATTGGCGCCTGGACCCCCTCCCCGCGGCGCCCCCGGCGTCGCCCCTGGCGCGCTCCGCGCTCCAGGGAGGGGGGCCCAGCGCGGATCCAAAATATCCGCGCGGACCTCCAACAATTGATGTTCATGCCGTCTTTCCTTCCTCCCAGAAACGAAAGCACAGGCGCAATGGACAAGCTTTTCAGGTTTTGAAGAAGGTTGGCCTCTCGGCAGTATTTCTGGGAAGCCTCGTGTTTATCCCGGACCATATTGAGTCGGGGGTGGACAGAACCCCCATCCTGACACGTCGATTAGTGAACTCTCCGTTTTTGTTCCAGGCTTGCGCCCGCCAGGCTTGGGCCCGAGGTTGTTTTCACTAAGCCACGCTTTGCTAAAGGGGGTTCTGTCCATCCCCGATTGAGGGGGCATTAGGCGTGCGTTGGTCGAGCCAATCTGGTCCTCTCGGAGGCCTCCTGGGCCTATGTGGGGCCACCTTCGAGTCATCCGGACACACGGCAGACTCGGACGCCTGCGGCTCAAGAGGCTGGGGGCCGTGGCGTCGTGGTCGTCCGCAGTGCCGAGAGCCGCCTGCTGCTCTCGCCGGACGAGTGAGCTGCCACCAGATCAGAGGCGGAGCAGCAAAAGTCGTGACGGCAGTTTTGCCGTGGTGCTTTGGCTATGAAAACCACTTCTCGGCTCCTGGTGCAAATGTCGATGCAGGCCTGCATGTAGGTTCGAGGCGCGTTCACGAGCCTGTTTTCAATTCCGGGGCGATGGCGGCCGCCACCGGGAGGGGGGGGAAAGGGGGTTGGTGACGTCACGTTTCGCGCCGGCGGCGTTTGGGAATGCCTCGGAATGGCCGAGGACGGGTAGGAGTAGCATGTACGTGGCGATCTGCACCACAGCGCCAATGTGAACCACAGTGCCTGCATGCACCACAGCGCCTGTGCACCAAAGCGAAAACGTACACCACAGCAGCCGCGTGCAACACAGCGCCAGTGTGCACCACAGTGCCTGCGGGCGACAGCGTTTGTGTACACCAAAGCGCCTGCGTACACCACAGCAGCCGTGTGCAGCACAGCACCAGTGTACGCCACAGGGCCTGCGTGCACCACAGCGCCTGCGTACACCATGGCGCCCGTGTGTGCCACAGCAACCATGTGCAACATAACCCCATTATTGCGTATATAATGTTTGAAATAATCTTTATGACAAAATGGGCCGCCTGTGGATTCCACAGGAAGCAATTATTTTATGGAGGGTTCGGAAAGGAACGCATACGGAAATAGGAGCGCCTGTAGAATTTACGAGTCCTCCCAAGGAGGGGGAGGAGAATGATGAGGAGGAGGAGGAGGAACTGTGCCTTGCGGATCGGGTCGCGCATAGAGACAATGGCGGCGTCCTCCCGAAGGAGTTCGCTTGAGGCGTGGAGGCAGTGCAATGGGAGGCGCTGTGGCATGAGGGCGATATGGCATGGCACCGTGGCGCTTCAGGGTACGATCGCTTAGTTTTTTTCTTGCCCATTCCCATTCTGCGGTGCACACTGAGACGCGCGCGTGCGCTGCAGCGCCGACCAGACCGACGGGGAGAAGGGTGAGGGAGGAGGAGGAGGACGAGGGAGGAGCAAAGAACGTCGCATTCGAATTGGGCACCACCCACGCGTGGTGTTTAGCTGTCGGCAGCAGATCCTGACCTACATGCTTCTTCTACTTGTCTTGTGCTCGCAGGTGCTGTGGTGTGCACCAGCGCTGCGTTGCATGCGGATTCTACGGTGTACGCAGGCACTGTGGTGTACACAGGGTCTGCAGTGTACGCAAGCACTGTGGTGTACACTCGCGCTGTGCTGTAGACGGCTGCTGCGGTGTACACATTCGCTGTGGTGTACAGAGGCGCAGTGGTGCACGCAAGCACTGTGGTGTACACAGGCGCTGCAGTGCGCATGACTGTTGCGGTGTACACAAGATGTATGGTGCGCACGCGCACAATTGTGCTCCCGAGCACTGTGGTGTACACAATCGCTGTGGTGCAGATCGCCACCGATATGCTGCTCCTACTTGGCCTCGGTCATCCGTAGGCATTCCAGGACGCCGCCGGCGCGGAAGGTGACGACACCGGGGGGGGGGCGGTGCCGTTGACGGCCGCCATCGCGGAAAATACAAAAATAGGAGTCCGGGGGCGGAGACGCTGTGGCCGGTCCGGCCCCTCCTCTGCCGGGCCGGGCAGAGTCCCACTCGTGGCGGCGACGGGTCCCGCAGTGGGCAGGGTCAAGATTCGTTTCGGTGGGCGTTCGGGGAGTGTCTGGAAATGACGGCTGAGATAAACGCAGTGTTTACTTGGGAGAGTTTGTTGATGGGGTCTTCGGACCGAGGGGGGTCCAACACGAACACGCAAACCATTTAGATTCGACAGTACCTTTCATCATCTGTCCATGCGATGATTATGTTTGATGTTTTTTGCCAGCTGCTGCCAAGAATTTGCGCCTGGCTGAGAATCATCCCTGCTGGAATGACCACCGTATCGATCTGGATGCGTTCGCCATCGCCTAGAACATGTCATCCGCTTGTGTGATCGCTCGGGCCAGGTGCCCGAGACTGATCGCTTGCACCACCTGCCCAAAATTGTACCAGATAGCCAGGACCCTGCGCAGCCCCTGCTCTGCCCACAAACACCCGCTGAAGATAGGTACAGTCTCGGATTTCGTTTCCGGGCGAGAACTCGACGCCGTTAGCCTGTTGCAGAGTCTCGGCCCGGGAGGGCTACGCTAATCAGCAATTCACTTGTTTGCCCTTCTAGAGATGGGCCTGGCGTGGTGTACGGAGCGTCTGCACTAGGCTCGTGACGATCCTACGCGAACTCCTCAACCTTCCTCTTCCTCTTACTTTTCTCCTGCTTCCCAAACCTCCGACGTTGTGGTCTGAATTTGCGACGGGGACCCCCAGAGGCCTCAGCCACTTTACTGGGGCTGGCATTCCTTCGGAGCCGTCTTCTGACGATCCTGGGGCGCAGCGGGCCCCCGGCGGCCAAACATGCTCGAACATCTCCCGCTGCTGGCTCTGTATGACCCGAGGGGGGTGCTGGGCATCCTTTTCTCCAGGCCTCCCAAGTTGGGTCCGAGCAGGATGGGGTCTGATCGCTGATGCATCGGCGATGCGGCTCGATGCAGAAGCCGTTTCTCTCCACGCCGGCGTCGCCCGTGCACCGCCGCCATCGCCGAAGCATCGGCGAGGCGAGGGGGGGCGATCCTCTGACCCAGTGCAGTTGCTCGGATCCCCTTTGTGACGCCTCTCTCCGCATCCCGCGGCGGCAGTCCGAAACTCAGGCGCTTGCGAAGCAGACCGAGCGCCACGAGGAGATGAAGGCCAGGCACCGCGAGGCCGAGTCGTCGCTGCGCGAGGGCCCGGGGCCTGGACGCGCGACGACGACGACAGCGGCGACGGCAACGACGACGGCGGGGAGGAGAATGAAGAGGGGAGGGGGAAGCGGAGGGGAAGGTGAAAGGGAGGAGCAGGTGTTGAGGGAGGTGTGTGTGTGCAGGTTTGGATGTGGATGTGGATGTGGATGTGGATGTAAATGTGTGGATGGATTTGTGTGTGTTGTGTGTGATGTGTGTGCATGTCTTACAGGCAGTGCAATGCCAGCGAAGCCGAACTCGATACAGGCGGCACTTCCACCCACAAGCTCAGCTTCTCACATATTCAATCGTTCGAATCCTCCGTGCGGCATCGGTGCCGCGCCGTCCTGGGTTGAGCACACGTGTCCAAAGACGGGCTGGCCTCCTCGAGTCGAGCCTGCTGCAGAAGACCCCGCAATCCACTCCAGGACCCACTCCATGCTTCTCTCGAAGGGTGTCCCACCAGCGACAGCGCCGGGAAATGCTGAGAGCGCAAAAGGGCCAATGTGATCATGCAAAGACAGGCGAGGCTGCCTGGCGCAGGAACAAAGTTGATGAAACTCAAAGGCTGCCTTTGCATCCTACGGGCCCCACTCCTGCGAAGAAGAGCAGCCGGGACTTCATTATTCTCCTCTCGCTCTTCTTCGTCCTCCGACTCCTTCCCCCCCTCCTGGTCCTTCTTTTTTGGCCATGCTGGCAGGACAGGGCGTCCTCAGAAGCACCCGTCCCTCGAGAGTGGTGCGGCCGCACTAACAGGACAGAGTGTCCTCGTGAGCGCCGGTCCCGCGGTACAGGTTTAAGGGGTTCGTTTTTCCTGGACCCCAACACACTCTTCCAGCATAATCTACCATACATGCGCTCCTGCCCGTGGCGGCCACTCGCTCTCACGCCCTTTCTCCCGCGTCGGCTCGTTGCGCACCCGTGCCCACCATAGTACCAGTGCTTACGGTGTGGCTCCGTACTGCCACATCTTCACAGTCTCACCGCCTGCGTCGGCCCTCAAGGCAGCACTGTCTTGAGAAACGCGGGTGATGCATACCCTCGGCGAACTTTCCATTGATGCCATTATGAAATGAAAGACTTGTGGGCCTCTCCCACAATGAATGATCGACTACTCGTCGAGAGTACTTATACTGGCTCTCCTGCAGAACGGGTCCATGGTGATGGAAACACCCAGCAAAGACAACAACCATCGTCCAGCAATTGAGACACGTGTGGAGAAAAAGCCACTGGCCATCACCAATGTACGAGATACTCAGCCACTCTGATACTTCCGACGGTGGAACCCAATCCGTATCCGTTCAGGCTTGAACATGTGAAACAAGTTATCGGTTTTGGCATCTTTGGTTTGGGGAATGGTCTTGAGTCCGTGGCACTGAAAGAGCTTCTCGGCACCCTTCGGCATCTCACGTTTTTTCCCACTGTGAAGGCGGCCTTCGATCCCAGTGGCTTGACCTGCAAACGAGAAAGACCCTGTCGATCCTGCACTGGTACTCGTCGCTGGCTGATCTCCTCCTCCTTCTCCTCCTCCTCCTTCTCCTCCTCTGCCTCGCGGGACTCGGCTGGAGGCGTGGACTGTGGCCGAGGAGGGAAGCGCCGACCGCCTTCAGCGGCCCCACCACCTGCTGCGCGACCGACCTCTCGAAATCCGACACCAGTGCTTTGGCCAGGATCTCGCCCTGGCGCCGAAGGTCGTTATCCTTCTCTTTCTCCGCTTCCAAGGTCGTGAACTTGCGATGCAGCGAGCGGCTTGAATAAGGAACACTTACTTTTCAAAAGGGACTCGGTCGTTCCTTAGGCTTGCATGCGTTATGTCTCGTTCCTTTTGCGCTATGTATACCGTGTCGTTCCTTCTGCGTTATTCCATTGGAAAAGTGGGGCCTCGTTCCTTATTTATCGAGGCCGATGACTGTACTTGTCACTGTGCTGAGATACGTCTGTGCATTCTCAGGGCGCTCACGGTGTCCATGAGACTCGCTGCTCGACGATGCATTCCGGCGCCGACGCCGATCACGGTCCCGATCCTGGTCTCCGCCACGATCTTTATCACGACCCCGTGGTTGTCAAGACGATGCCGATGGATTTGAACTTTTCCACGAGTCTGCCTTCTTCTGACTACTGTAGCCGCCCTTCTTGTTCGAGTTGTGCTGGCCACCCATCCCGCTCCCCAGGAGATGGAAGTGCCGCTGCAGATGTTGGAGTCACGCTCACACAGACCTTCGATCCAAACGGGCCGCAGTTGAATTCGGGGTCGAGTGGATCAGCGCTCTGAAGATCTAGGGTGGGTACCCAAGAAGGGGCAACTCAAGAGTAAGTACTAAGACCCCAAGACTTGCAGCCACGTCGGACGAGCCAGGACACCCATATCGCGATACATTCCCCTACCAGGATACCTCTCATAACCCCAATCACACTGGGCCAGGATCCTGCCCAGGGAAGCACGTGGGATTTGGACCGTACTGCACCTGCGGGACGACTCCCGATATTTGCATATAGCCACCCTCGATTCGGATTCTTGCGCGTGGAGCATTGCGGAACATTGAACCCTGAAACACAGATCCAGCCACTCAGAGAAAGCTTCCAGGGTCGTCATGAGATCTGAAGACCACGCTCGAAGATCCCTCAGAAACCTCACCCAAGATACGCAATCATCCATCCATGGCACTGTCTCATACTTGCCCTCGGGGTAGCATCCACGTACCTGCTCCAGGTGATCTGACCTCTGGGGTTCCCTGGAGAGTGAGGGCGCCTGCCGATCGAAAAACTCTTCCGCTCCAAGACGCACCGATACAGCTGCCGTCGGCATCACTCCTCCGATAGCCATCTCCGCCATCTCTACCACCGCATCTCCGAAGACAACCAGCGTGAGCCTTGCAGCCGCCGCGAGAGCCCGATGAAGCTGAGCCAATGATACCGACCACCAGCCACGACCGTAGTGCCGCGTCCGCTCCCCTGAAGACGCTCTCTCCTGACCAAAACTCCAACGCGAGAGCTCTCGAGCCATCGTCACAAACCAGTGCTGGTAGAAAGCACGGACGGCCCAGCGACTTGCGTAGTAGCATATGGCGAGGCAGTCGGCCATCCCGCGATTCAGGGTGCACCTGGGTCCTGAGATGGTCACGTAGCCGTCCAGCTATGCGGGGTGTCGGCGACCTTCTCATCAGATCGGCTTTCCCAACATTTGAAGGACTGGCCGATCACAAGACGTATAATGCTGATCTGCCATCACCATGTTCAGAACATAGGTTGGGCGCCATCGTCAACCACTGGCCGTCGAGGCCTCGGATACTTTGGTGAGCAATTTGTGCTAGGACACGCAGCGCACGACCCGCCCACCGAGGCACCCGTCGCTGCTGTAGTGCCCGTCGGAGCCGTGCGATGCCCATGCGAATGGAGATTCGATGCGCCATGATCGCAATCTACGGGCATCCAGCTCCATGCCGCAACGATCTCGGGAGCAGGCGGTCGAGGATCTGGTACGTCGCGAAGCACAGGGATGACATATCACGCTTGGTCGTGCGCGTCCGCGCCTGCAAAGATTCCCGAATGGGACCCTCCTGCGAGGGTTGGACAATCTTTGGGAGGATCTGCTGCACATCCTCCTCTGGCCACTGGCCCTACTTCGAGGGTCTGGGCCACTCCACGCTGGTGCGGAACCTTCTCCGCCTCCTCCTCCTCCTTGTCCCTCCTCCTCCCTCCTCCTCGACCCTCTCCTTCCTCCGTCCCCTTCTCGTCGTCGTCGTCCTCCTCCTCTTCTCCTCACCTCCTCCTCCGCCTCCTCCTCCCACTCCTCCCCCTCCTCCTCCTCCCCCTCCTCCTCCTGCAGAGGTTGATGAGGTCCGTGGCACGCCGTCGCCCTCAGTGGGGTCGGCTCGATGTCACGCGGCAGTGCGTCTCACAGGCGGTGCACTCTCGGCGAAGCTGCCCTCGATACGGATGGCCTTTTCACCCGCAAGCGCAGCTCCCCCTCCTTCCCCTGCCCCCCCTCCCCCACCTCCTCCTCCTCCTCCTCCTCCTCCTCCTCCTCCTCCTCCTCCTCCTCCTCCTCCTCGGGTCGCCTACGGCCCCGGGGGGAACCGTGCACCCCCCCCTTCGATTCTGGGGCGCTCCGCGATCCGATCTTGTCCGACCCCCCCCCCTCGCGGGGGGGCGAGAGGGGGGGAAGCGAGGAGGAGAAGGCCTTCTCAGAAGGTGGCGGGATCTCTCAGATGCCCTCGCGCCTTCTGAGAAGTTGTTGCTGTCTTCGGGGAAGGCTTCGAAAACTTCTCAGAAGGCCTGGGGACTTCCGAGCCTTCTGAGAAGGCCTTCTCCTTCTTTGTTCCCCCCCTCGCTCGCCGCCAAACATTCAATCGTTCGACTCCTCCGTGCGGCATCGGTGCCGGGCCGTCCTGGGTTGAGCACACGTGCCCCAGGTCGTCGCCCCGCTCTGAGCCAAAGAACGGCCGGCCTCCTCGAGCCGAGCCTGCTGCAGAAGACCCCGCAGTTCACTCCAGGACCCAATCCAGGCTCCTCTCGAAGTTTGTGTGTGTGTGTGTGTGCGTATGTGTGTGCGTGTGTGTGTGTGTGTGTGTGTGCGTGTGTGCTTGTGCTTGTTTCCAAGTGAGTGTTTGTTTTTAAGTGTCTGTGTGTAAGTGTCTGTGTATTAGTGTGTGCGTGTGTGCGTGTGTGGGGGCATGTTTGTCGTGCAGCGCCGCACAATGTCGGGGCATGGTTGGGCGAAGAGTGGACCCCCTTGCCGCGCAGCAGGAGGGAGGCATTGCACGGGAAGTGGGATGAGAATGAAGCTTGGGAGGGGTGTGTGGGGGGAGTCGGAAGAAAGCTTGGGATGGAAAGCAGGAGAAAAGTGGTCAAGGAGAGGAGGAGAAGGAGGAGTTGATGATACTGGGAGGGGGTTAGGACGTTAAGACCGTGCGACAGCGGAAGTCGAGAAAGGGTGGGAGGGGGTGGGGAAGAAGGGGGAAAAGGAGAGGCGGAGAGGGCGAGAGGGTTCAGGAATGAGAGGGTAGAAGAAGGCTGTGGATGAAGAGTTGGAGGACGTGGAGGATGAGGAAGATGATGCCGACGTCTACGAAGACAAGAACGAGGCAGGTGAGGGGGGACATAATGGAAGGGAACGGAACTAAAATTGAGACAGGGATGGGACGGGGGGGTGCAAAGGGGAAGCTCCAGAGGGAGGTTTGGTGCATTGATAGCCATGGGCTATGGGTAAGTCTTTCCTCGCTTCCGCGCGGATGTGAGCGCGACCGATGTGAGTTGGTAAAGTGGTTACTCTAAGGACACTTTGGGGAAGGTGTTTCCGTCTACCCACCTCCCGTTGGTTACGTCCGCTCGGCCACAGCTCCCCGCGAGGCCCCGTCGCACCCACCCTGCCAGAGGCCTGGGTGGCACATTGCTTGGCAAGGGAGCACACTCATAGATCGTCGGCTTCAGGACGACGAGAGGGGCCGTTCGCCTCGGCATCCTCCCGCCATCCTCGTCCACCTCTTTATATTTTGCGCCCTGCCTCATCCCTTGTTTCCTTCTCCTTCCACATGCTCCCTCATCTGTCCCCCGCCTTCTTCATCCCGTCTTCCCTTTCTTCGCTCCCCCCGCACTTCTCATGCCGCCTCCTTTCCAGCCCCTTCTCCCCCGCTCCCCGCCCCCCCCCCTTCGCACGGGAGCGCTCGCGGGAGGGGGGAAGGAGGAAGGAACATGAAGGAGGAGCGCACGAGGGGAGGAACAGCAATGAGCTGCTGGAGCAGTGATGGGGCGGGCGAAGAGGAGAAGGGGGTGGGGAGAAGGAGGGACGAGGAGGTGGAATAGAAGGGTGGAGGAGGCGGGAGGCCGAAGAGGAGGAGGAGGAGGTACAGTCGGGGCGCTGAAGAAGGATCCCTTTTCGTTTGGGAGGGGCCCCGTGCTCCTTAGTTGTGTTGCACTGTGCCTTCGGTTTTCCTTAGGTTTCCCATGGGAAATCGATGTTTGATGTATGGGAACATAGGGCCCCATTCCTTATTTGCTGTTCCGTAGGTCAAAGCCCCAACTGAAGTTGAGGAAGGAGAAAGAGGAAGAGGGAGGATGAGGAAGAGGAGGAGGGGGAGGAGGAGGAGGAGGAGGAGGAGGAGGAGAAGGAGAAGGAGGAAGAGGGAGCAGCGAAGAGGACGAGGAGGAAAGACGCCAATTGCAGAGACGTTTCAGACACGGGTGAACCTTTTAAGGACCTCCTCGCTCTGCAGCTCTCCGGAGGTACTTTTTCAGTCGGGCGTCTCCCTCTACAGGAGGAATATGCAAAAATAGCTAAACAATTGTCTGGGGGCGCTTTTTTTTCATAAAAAATGTTTGAGCATTCACGGAATCTGTGTTGTACTATGTTTAATTTTTCGCCCGAGCTTCCCCTGCAGGGGGACAGGCGCAACCTGACGGTACTTGGAGGCCCCCCGCACGCCCAACGAGGGCCCAATACCTGGATCCTCCCCCCCCAACATCGCTCATCCTGGTCTCCTCCCCGCATCGCTTTTCTCTTCCCCTCAGATGCTCTTGGGTGGCTGCGTCCTGAGGGCCGAAATCCTCCTGAAGGGGGGGAGGAGGAGCAGAGGAAAGGGGGGACCGACCGAAGGGCCACGAAGGCCGAGCGCACGTCGAGAGCCACCAATCGTCCCGCCTCCCCGCCCCCTCCCCTCGGCCCAGACGATCCGACGCTTGTTTTTTGTTGAATCCGTGGCGCTAGAATTTAGTCGGGCCTGTCCCCCTGCAGTGGGATTTTGGAGGGAAAAGTTCAAGTACAAAACATAGTCCACAACTGCAAACAGAAAATAAGGAAAAAATAGCCCCCAGACTAAACTGTACTATTTTTGAATATTCCTCCTGTAGAGGGACAGGCCCGATTTACCCTAGAAGTCGGAGAGAGCCACCTGTGCACGCACCGATCCCGCACCCAGGATCGGTACACATATATATATATATATATATTATATATATATATATATCTATATATATATGTATATATATATAGATATACATATATCTATATATGTATGCCTTCCTGGCCAGGCCGGGAGGTAGTGGCAGTCGATCCTGGGCTCATGATGGGCCTGCCCAAGGTCGCTGTAGCTGCACAGCTGGAGACCTCCTACAGAGCTCGCGGCTCAGCTCCGCGGCAGCTCTTTCAGCCCCAAGCACATCCGGCTGTCATGGCCCCAGCTCCCGGAGCAAGGCTGAGAACGATATATCTAAAGTGGCGATCGTATCGCATTGCACGGCCTATCATGCTGCCGTCCATGGAGGGGGAGGGCAGAGGGAGGAGAGGGGAGGAGGGCCCAGGAGACAAGAGGAGAGAAGAGGAGATTAGATGAGAGGAGGGGGGAGGAGGAAAGGGAAAGGGAGGGCAGCAGAGGAGATGAGGAGGACAAGGAGGAGGAGAAGGAGGAGGAGGAGGAGAAGGAAGAGGAGGAGGAGGAGGAGCAGGAGGAGGACCAGTGCACGCCCAAGACTCATCAACGATTAGAAATACACCCTCCCCCCAAGCGCCGGTTGCATAGGCGCGTAATAGGATTCACTTCCACTGGCGGAAGTGCCCCGTTGGCGGAGATACGTGTGAACATCTTGAAGCGTGCCAAAACAGTTTCTTGTCAGGATTTCAACGCAACGAGTCAATGTGACTGTTGCGTCATGTGGATCCAGAGTCGTGTCAGAAGAGGGGTCCAGAGGCTTCAACACAGCGAATCGACGTAAACGTTGCGCCCTGAGAATCCTGAGCGGCTCCAGAGCACCATACTTGGTGCGTTAATCGTGAGAACCAATGAAACTCTTGCGACGTGTCAGCAAGAATGTGCGGAGCGCTAAGGCGAGATCCAGATGTTGGAAAGAGCCGCCCACAAGGCGTGAAGTTCTTGCAAATGTTAAAAAGAAGGTGCTTGGCGCTAGAGCGGGAGACACAGTTTGAAAAGGAATCGCCCTCAAGCCATGAAGCTGTTGCAAATGTTCAGAGCGAGTGTGCGCGGCGCTAGGGCGAGCGACACATTCTGAAAACGAGAGCCGCCCTACATTCATTGAGCTCTTGAAATTTGAAAGCATGAATGCGCTAGGCGCTGCGGCGAGTATCACATGTTGAAAACGAACCGCCTTCAATCCGTGAAATTCTTGCAGATATGTAAAACGAGTGCGCGCGGCGCAAAATCGAGAACCACATGTTGACAACCACCCACCCTCATTCTCTGAAACGCTGGCAATGGTTTACAAGGAATGTGCCTGGCGCTAAGGCGAGAGCCGCATGTTGGAAAACGGCCCGCCCTCCATCTGTGGAGCTCTTGCAGTTTTTGAAACGAAGGTGCACGGCGCTAAGGCGAGAACCGCAGGTTGGAAGCGAGTCGCCCTTCATGCGAGAAACTGCTGCCAGCTTTCGAGCTTGCGGCTTAAAAACTGGTCAGCAAGTCTCAGGCGAGACGACCGGCCCTCCCTTCCGACGGGCCTCGGGGTACGACAGGGCAGAGCTGCTCATAAGGAGGAAGAGGAAGGGGAGGAGGAGGAGGAGGAGGAGGAGGAGGAGGAGGAGGAAGAGGAGGAGGAGGAGGAGGAGGAGGAGGAGGAGGAGGAGGAGGAAGAGGAGGAGGAGGAGGAGGAGGAGGAGGAGGAGGAGGAGGGGGAGGGGGAGGAGGAGGATCCCCCCTACTCCTTGGTCCCTCGCCTCCGCCCTCCCGCCGAGGCGAGCGCCGCCGCGTGGCGTGGCGGCGGCAGGTCCTGGACCTGGACCGGGCGAGGCAGGACCTGCAGAGGGCGCTGGAGGCCACCCCCTCTCCGGGGCCCGGCGGCGCGGGACGGGGGGTGGGCAGGGGCAGGGCAAGGGCCCCCAGCGGCAGCGTCGAGCGCCACCGGCCATGGGGAGGGGGGCTGCCGCGGGCTGGGCGCTAGGAGGCCCACCCGCGGAATGTGCGAGTGCCCGCGCCGGGCGGCCCGGCCGGGCGCGCCGCCAGACAATGGGTGCGCGCCATGGTCGGAAGGGAGAGGGGGGGGGGGCAGGAGGACCGGGAGGACGAGCAGCTGCCGCCCTCCCGCTCTTCCCTCCCTCCCCCTCCCCGCCCTCGCTCCCCTTCCCCCTCCCCCCTCCCCGCCCTCGTCGCCCTCCTCGCGGGGGCGACCGCGAGGAGGGCGACAGGGGCGACGAGCCCAGCTCTCCGACTGCACGATGGTTGTCAATCCTGGCGTCGTTCGTCGAGCGGGCCTGTCATTGGGCCCCTGGGCCATCAAAAGCGGGCCCGGGGCGGAAGGTTGCCTCCCGGGGAAGGGCTCGCGACCTTCTTTGGGGGCCGCGCACTGTAAAAAATCGCATCGGCGGATCGCATCGGCGCATTGGGAGGCCGAGCCAGAGGGGGAGGAGGAGGAGGAGGGAGGAGGAGGAGGAGGAGGAGGGAGGAGGAGGTGGAGGAGGAGGAGAGGAAGCAGGAGGAGGAGGAGGAGGAGGAGGAAGAAGAGGAGGACGAGGAACGGGGGGAATCTCATAATAGGAACAGAAACTACAGTCCCGAGGATTCAAGTCCGCTCGACGTCAAAACATTAGAAGAGGGAGACATACCGCTACTCATGCCATTGTGTCGACGCCACGGTTGGATTCGCCTTGAGATCATGGTCAGAACGCCCCGAGAGAGGTCCATGGAGTGGCGGTATCGGTACCTTTTGGCTCCTCGAGGAGGAAGAGGAAGGGAAAGAGGAAGAGGAAGAGGAGCATGAGGAGGAGGAGTAGGAGGAAGAGGAAGGGGAAACGGAGGCACGTCACGGAGGAAGGGCCAGGGGCAGGAGCAGCAGTTGCGCGAGCAGGAGGAGGGGTTGCAACAGGAGCAGCAGGAACGGGTCTCTGAAAAGCCCAGGGCGGCGTGGGCCATGTGGGCGGAGAGCACCCAGACCTTCTCGCGTCACGTTTGTTTGCGCGTTGTCCTTCTTGCCCAGTTCGCTTCTGGTGTTCCCCGCCGCATGCTGACGGGCGTCGGAATGTCATGGACCACGTGGCACCCGCGGACTCAACATGTTTGCGCGTTGTGTTGGTCATCCAGCTGCGTACGGCAAGTCCCGCCACCATGAAGCCTGTTGGATGTTCGTTGGGATATCGTAGGGGCCTACCGGGGGGTTTGTTGGAGGCAGTTTGGGCGCCTCTTGGGTGCCGTTTAGGGGCCTCCTGGAGCCTTTTTGGGGCCTCTTTGGGGCCTCTTTGGGCCTCTTGGGGGCGTCTTGCTGCGTGTCGTGTTGGTAGTTTTCCTGCCTCCTGGGGCCCCGGGCGCCCGGGGCAGACGTGGGCCGTCACTCAGCAGCTCAGGGCGACGAGCTCGCCCCAGGGAAAAGGTCCAGACCTCCAGGGCGTCGGAGGACTGGCGGGAGAACGGGCCCGGGTGACTGAGGGGGAAGGGGGCATCCTCTCTTGCTCCTCCTCCTCCTCCTCCTCCTCCTCCTCCTCCTCCTCCTCCTCCTCCTCCTCCTCGTCGCTGACTTTCAGGACGCGGACAACAGCCCGAGGCGTGTCTTCACATAGTGTTCTACAACATTCGGTACAATCGAATCACTCTGCCCAGCTGGCATGTCAGTGAATGCTATGTGGCAAAGCAGAATGGGCAATCTGGACCTAAAGGGCGTCGACTACATCAGATCCTACGTGTTTTTGGCAATGGCTTCTTTGCAAACTGCTTCGAAGTTCGGCGACCAGAACCACTTCCACCAGACCGTCATGGGCACGCAAGCGGACAACGACGAGAGACGGCGATCGTGGCATCCATGGTGACAGCCTGCAACGTGCAGGTTCCACTTCTGCACCGCTTCAAGGATCTGACCAACGCGTTCCCGTCGGTGGGCTGGCAGTACATGGAGAAGGTAGCGGAGTATGTTGTAGATACTCGTGGTATTCGGCTCGACTTGCAGCACATTCGACGGGGTCAGTTGCATCTATCAGCAGCAGAATGTACGCTCGAAGGCAGGCCGACAGATGTTGGCCTCATGGGGGGCCTGTTCATGGCACGCTGCTTCCCCATGCCTCTGCTCATGCTGTTGAGCAATGGGCATCGCAGCGGTGCTGGACCACGCGGACAGCAAGTTGGTAATTAGCGAAACGCCTGGTCACATTCATCCATGTCGACTGGGGCATCCACCTGTACGCCAACGACGCCAACAAGAAGGTGCCGCAGCATCTTCCCATGCCGAAAGGAAACAGTCGACCTGGACAAACTGCGCGAGAATCTGCATAATTGCCATCATATCATGGGCGACAACCTCACCATCATCGGCCCGATTCAGGAAAAAAAGACGAGCAGGTGAACATCATGTCCATGCACGGCTTGGGAAGGGGCACTGCGCGGCGGAACCTACGGCAGAGGACCCAACGCGCAAATGGGCTGGACAGATTGGAGCAGGCGCGCTGCTTGGGACCGGTTATCACAAGTGTTCAAGTTGTCGGAGCCGAGCCAGCGAAGAGATTGCAGGCAACAAAGACGATGTTCTATGCAATGGGATCTTTCTGAAGTGTTGCACGCATGTCCTGTCGCTGGTGGGGAGAGCGAGGCTGGGGCGCGTGGCCACAGCAGCTTTATCCGCGGTTGAGGATCTCATCCCCGCCTAGAGGCAGCACGGCGCGATCGACGGAGTGGCGGCCTCGCTGGCGCGCATTGCCAAGCGAGTGAAATCCTGCACGTGTAACGGGGATGGGGCGGTGCGATCTTTGCTAATCTTGAGGTTTGAGCGCGTTGGAAGATTGCGCGGGCAGAGGCGGGGCTTCGGGTGAAGCGGTTGAATTGGCTCTGACAGGCAGCAGCACCTGACGGGAACAGCGACATCCAGCTGTTCGGGGCGCTCTTCGGCACGATCAGCTGCCATGCGCAAAACGCCGTCGCAGACGAAGACTCCTTGCGCAGCTGCGCCGATCTCTAGGCCAAGAGAGTTCAGAAAAATGTCGTTGCGCTCGTGACCTGTTCTGACGAAACACCAAGCCATCGAGAGATTGCGAGGCCGCGTAGCGCGGCGCGGCCAACGCAGCCGTTTACGAGAGAGGAGTTTTGCAATGCCAGCAGCATTCGCGCCAGAGGGTTCCAGAAGAACACCCCGCCCCAGCGCGCGCGACGGCCCAGCCCGCGCACGATGGGGGGGGGGGGTCGTGTTCCCGAGGCGGAAGGGGCGTTCATTTATCAGGCGGAAGTGGATTGGATGCGGTGTGCAAGAAAGTTGAATTAAAGAAAGGCCTTGAGCGCACATGTACGGCAGGTGCGCAGGTGAGCAACATTGTCAATGCCTGCTAGCTTCATAACCTTGTTAACGTGCGCATTGCGCGCAAGACTGCGTTCGCTTCGGAGGTCACCGCCCGTCGACGCCTCGCTCGGCCGGCACGGCGAGGCTGCTGCGTCGTTGGCCTCGCGCGGGCCATCATCCCCGCGCAGGTGCCCAACGCATTGCGATGTCTTGGATGTGAGTATGTAACGGGTTCTTGGCTTGAGCTGAGATTGCACCGTGTTCGCCTTCTTCCACGTCAGCTGGACAATCGGGCGCCCGCACGCGAAGGCAAACATCTACTCTGTGGATGTGGGTGACGAACCAGAGGGGCTGATGGGCGCGGGGATCGGCGAGGCATCGCGGGCGCCCCCGAAGGGAGATCGCGCCGCCGCGTCCGGCGGGGCCGAGGGCGAGACTGAGAAGAGGAAGGCGGAGGACCTGGTCGCGGCGGCCAGAGGCGCCGCGGGGCGCGGAGCAACCGAGGAGCAGATCGCGCGGCAGCTCGCCATCATCTTCAGCAGGCTGGCGCTAAGCATGGCAGGCGACCGAAGGTCGGTCATCAGCGTGGCCCTCGTCGCGGCGCTGGCCCCGGCGACGTTGCCCCGCGCGGAGAGGGCCGGCCGCGCGGGCAATGGGCGCCGCGGAGCGGCGATGCAGCTGCGGGAGGTCGCCAAGGGCGACCCGACGTGGGCGCGGCGGCGCGCGGCGCTGGGCAGCCCTCACTCGCGCATTCGCGGAAGGACTTCGCGCGCGTTGTTCGCGGGCGTCGCGGAAGTCCGAGATCGCGAGATTCTGACCGACTATCAGAATAATTGCATCAGGCGGCGGAGGGCACGAAGCGCTTCGAGGCGCGCGCCCCGCGGGGCAAGGGGGCCGAGGGAAGGTCCAAGCGCATGGAGCGCGACCGCAGTTGGCGCCTTCGCCGACGAAAATCGCGACGGAGCTGGGCGCGGCGGCGCGCGCGGATATCGCTCGTCGCGCAGGGGAGATCGCGATTGGAGGGGCGCCGCGGGGCGTCTTGGAGAGGGGCGCGCGGCGGGCCCCGAACAAACCAGAGCCGCACTAGGGCTTGGGGAGGGCAGGGGTCTGCGCGATCCTGTGGGCAGCGAGAGATTGGGTGAATTAGTGGCCCGTGGGGTTGCGAATAGGGAGTCGACCCCCGCTCCCTTCGCCCCCCCCCCCCCCTCTTGCGGAGCAAATCTCAAGGGGATCCCCGGGGCAGCGTTGTCCCCGCGGCGAAAATTCAAGCGCGTCTTGGGGGGCGAAGCATGGGCAATTGTAGAGATAGGGGGGCAGCGCCGCCCCCCTGAGCAATGGAGGGGGCAATGGGGCTGCGGAGGCGCCCCCCCCTGCAGCGAGAAATTCCGCGGGGGGGCCTTCGCTGCAGGGATTGAGCGCCCTGCTGCCCCCACCGCCTCTGGCAAGGAAGCGTGGGCCGCCACCATGGCGCCCTGTGTTCACCCCTCTTGGCTTGCTGGGGGGCCTGAGTGTTTTCCACCAGTGCTGGCGCGAAGTAATGTCGCAGCCACTCGGCAATGCCGCCCAGGTAAGTCAACAGTCGGATAACTCGGCTTGCATTCGCCCTGGGACGTCCAGGTATAAGTCTCCTCGTGTTTCTCGTCCTTCCCCCCCCCAGGGCGCTTCGGAAGTTTTCGGGTGCTTTCGGGGGCAGGTGTGTTTTCCATTGGCCGCTGCTCGTCGACAGCACCCCTGGGATGACGCGCGCGCCCCGCGCCGCTGCCCGGGGCCCGAGGTGCGGCCCAAGGGCCAGGGGGGGTGCAGGTGACGGGGGTCAGCCCTGACGGGGGGTCGGCTACTCCAAATCTGTTATCCACCGACCCCCCGCAAAAAAAAAAACCGGACCCCCCTCCGAATGCGACCTAATATTCCGGAGCTCCCACTTCGGGCGTCTTAATAAACCGGGCACCGATCCAAAAAAACGCCCTGATAAACCGGACCCCGCAAGTTACAAAAAAAACGCTTTAAGACACCGGACCCGGGAGACGATTACTGAGGGATTTGGGGTGATTTTTTGGGCTGGTCCGGGTTGGGCGCCATGAGAAGACGAACCCTCTCTGTTCACTCTGCTGTTCCGGATTGGGAGTTACTTCGAGCCCGTTCCCCCGCTCGCCCTTCCTGGCGCGAGTTCGAACCTTTCGAAAAGCCATGCGCGCGAGCGTGCATGCCGGGCGGCTTGGCCCAAGTGGCGTTGAAGTGGGTGGGTGTTGCTTTGTGAGGAGGGAACAATCGGCGTCACCCCAGCATACTAATGCTGTGTGTGCGTCGCCCCCCCCAGGGGGCGACGCACGCACCGAAAATTCTTCGAATACGCGCGTCGTGGCGGGCGCTTTCTGGCCGTACCGCCAGGGAAACGAATTCTACCAAGATGGCTGTGCTCATGTTCGGGTCGGACGCGCGCTTCCGAGGAGCACGCATCTTACTAGTTGCGCCCCGAAGAACTACTGCCGGCCCTGATCACTAGGTCGACCCTGCCAGATGAAGGGTACCCTTGTGTCCTGCGCCTCGCGGCCCACGCCTTCTCACATTCCTATCACAATGTTGCCCTCGGAAGGTTCTGGTGTCCTCTCGCGTGTCCTCTCCAATCCATTCCGACTGTACTTCGTGGCCGGCGCTTGTTGGCGGCGTGCCGTAGCTGGCCCGAGCAGCGCGTGGCTTCGGGGATCGAGGGTCGAGGCCTGCGGTCGTGCCGTGTCTGGGCTTCCGGGCGCGATTGCCCCGCCGCCGCGGCCAGCTCCGCATCGGAACTCGTGCCAGGAGCCACGACGCGCCCCCCCTAAAAAGTCCAGGGGACATCGTTTCATCACTGCCCACCAAACGACCCCAACCCAACCCGAAGGCCCAAATTTGCCCTCGATTTCCAGTGGGGGGGTCGGGGAACATCGAAAAAACACATGTGGAACCCGTACTCCCCCCAAGCCGAAACTTGGGTCTTCGGATTCGGTTGGGGTGGTCTGGTAGGTCGTCATTTTGCGGGGGCGGGGGCGCTCTGACCAGGTCGTGCCGTTTCTGGGCCCCCGGGCGCGTGCGCGTCACCACGGTCGGGATAGGACGCGCCCCCTCCAGGCAGAAGTCCAGGGGGCAGCATTGTTTCCCGACCATCCTGTGGTGTTGGGTCCTCGTTTTGAAGAGACAGCGCCCCGCGTCCTTACTCCTCCCGCTGCCCTCCTCCTTCCTCCATCATCATCGTCATCGTCTTCGTCGCACCCCTCACACGTTTCGTGGCCTCAAAGGGAGTTCCACCGACGGCCCCGTGCGTCCGCCACACCCAGTCCGGCACACCCCTCACACGCTTCGTGGCCACATAGGGAGCTTCACCGAAGGCCCCACTGCCACTGTCCACCGTCCACATGCGTCCGCCACACCCATTTCGGCACAACCCTCACACGTCTCGTGGCCCCGAAGGGAGCTCCGCCCCGGAGCTGCCATCCACATGCGTCCGCCACACCCATTTCGGCACGCCCCTTGAAGCTCCACCCACACTCATGTCGGCACACCCCTCACACGTTTCGTGCCCCCATAAGGAACTACACCCAAGGCCCCAGTGGCACCGTCCACATGCGCCCGCCACACTCATTTCAGCACACCTTTCACACGATTCGTGACCCCGAAGGGAGTTCCACCGAAGGTGGCGCCGTCCACATGCGTCCGCCACACAAATTTCGGGACACCCCTCACACGTTTCGTGGCCCCGTCAGGAGCTCCACCGAAGGCCCCAGTGCCACCGTCCACATCCGTCCGCCACATCCAATCAAGCACGCCCGGCACACCGCTCACATGTTTCGTGGCCCCATAGGAAGCTCCACCGAAGGCTCCAGTGGCACCGTCCAAATGCGTCCGCCACTCCCATTACGGCACACCTCTCACACGCTTCGTGGCCCCTTAAGGGGCTCCACCGAAGGCCTCAGAGGCACGGCACCGTCCACATGCGTCCGCCACAGCCATGTCGGCACACCCCTCACACGTCCCGTGGCCTCATAGGGAGCTCCTCCCAAGATCATGCTCACGACTGCGGCGCTCACAGCTGCACATGGTTGGGCCCTTTGCCAGGCCAAATTTTTGTTGGGGGGGGGGCGGGTGCGTTCTGGCAAGGATCGTGAGGCGGATCTGGCCGTGGCGACGAGGGCTTCCCAGGATGCCCCGCAGGAGTCGAGAACGAGGGGAGGTCAGCGGCATCAGTACCTTGATCCCCCTTTTCGACGAGCAGAACGAGGCATTATCTTGCACGGTCGGTGCTCCGAAACTTTATGTGTGTGCCGTTGTTGCTCCTCTGTAGATTGAATCGCCGAGCTGCTGCCTCACGGTTTTCCGCCGTCTAAATCCGATCCCCTCCGCCCACAGGGGGAGGAGCGAGGGGGAACGAGGAGAAGAGAGAAGACGGAGGAGGAGGAGGTGGAGGAAACAGAGGAAAAGGAGGAAACGGAGGAGGAGGAGGAGGAGGATAGGAGAAGAGGGGAAGAGGAGAAGAGAAGGAGGAGGACGACGACGACGAGAAGGGGACGGAGGAAGGAGAGGGCCGAGGAGGAGGGAGGAGGAGGGACGAGGGACGAGGAGGATGAGGGACGAGGAGGAGGAGGAGGAGGAGGAGGAGGAGGAGGAGGAGGAGGGACGAGGAGGAGGAGGGACGAGGAGGAGGAGGAGGAGGGACGAGGAGGAGGAGGAGGAGGCGGAGGCGGAGGAGGAGGAGGAGGAGGAGGAGGAGGAGGAGTTTCGAGGGCCCCTCGCCGCCGAGCAAGAACGGGCCTGCCCAGCCCCAGGAGCAGGCGCAGCGCTGCCATGGCCCCGCGCCCGCCGCCCTGCGGCAGGGGCCCGCCGCGGCTTGCGGCGCCGACCTGCAGGCGCCCCAGCGTCGGCGGCGACGGCGACGGCGGCGACGACGACGACGACGACGACGGCGACGACGGCGACGACGACGACGACGACGGCGACGGCGACAGCGGCGACGGCGGTGGTGACGACGACGACGGCGACGACGGCGGCGACGGCGGCGGTGACGGCGGCGGTGACGGCGACGGCGGCGGCGGCGGCGGCGGCGACGACGAGCCCAGATCTGCGACGATTCGATGCTTTCACTCTGGCGTGTTCCCTCGATTGCGGCCTCCAGGGCCCGTTCCAGGGCCGTCAGAAACGTATCCAGAGCGAACGACTGCTCTTGGGGAGGGGGTCGAGACTCAGACCTAGACTTCTTGGGCCTCTGAGGACGACGAGGGCCAAGAGCCATGACGTCCTGGCGTCGATCAACAATCACGACGGGAGCCTTTGGGAAGCTTTCGGTTTCCGCGGGGGCCTTCGCCGGGCCCCGGAGCTGTCAATCAAACGGCTCGCGGGATGAAGCGCCGATCCTGCGGAAGGGGTCGAGACCTCCTGTGGCGCCGACGGCGGCGGCGAGGTCGGCGGGCACGAGGACGACGAGGAGGGTTCGGAGAGTTCGGGGTGTGCGGGCTTTCCGTCGGCTCCCAGAGGCTTTCCAGCCTCGGGATGCTCTCCAGCAGTTGCGCCTCGCCGAGAGCGGTCCGCCGGCGCCCGGATCGTCCCGAGCGGCCGCCGCAAGCACGAGTTACGGCCTAGAAGCCACTAGGGGCAACGATGGGCGAGGACGAGAGCGACGTTGGCCAGACACGGGGAGGAGCCTCATCCGCCTTGCCGTCGTCATCGGTGTCCCTCTACTCCTCCTCATCCGCTTCCTCTTCATCCCCTTTCCTTAAGAGTCACTCATCCCTGTCACCCCACCAGACGCGTCCGTCATCTGAGAATTCCTTTCCATTTTTTGACCCGAATTTTGAAATTTGCAACGGGTTCACGGATGGAAGGTCGGTGGTTTTCAAAATGTGGGTCTCGCTTTGGCGCCTCGCGCCTTCGTCTCCAACCTTTCAAGAAGCTTCACGGATGGAGGGCGGGTGGTTTTCAAAATGTGGTTCTCGCTGTAGCGTCGCGCGCATTCTTTTCAAAGTTCACAGAAGCTTCACGCATGGAGGACGGGTGGTGTTCAACATGTGGTTCTCGTTCTTAGCGCTGCGCACATTCGTTTCAAACGTGCGTGGAGCTGGGTGCCGATGGCGCCAGCGCTACAAGGGCACGCTCATGGCAGGTGACCAGAGCTTCGCATTGCATAGAGGTGTTCGCAGCTGGCCGCATAAGGATGCGTCGGGCTCTGGTCAGCCGTCGCCCCCGGGGATATGGATGCCATGGGATTGAATGGAGGCCAATTCGGCCTTGGTCCCTTTCTGGGAGCATGAACTCGAGACGGCGCGGGGCCGTGGGGAAAGTCTGCATCGGCGCCGCCGCCGCTCGCTGCCAGTTTCCAGGCGCGCTTTGGCTCGAGCGCGTTGTTTCGTTAGCGCGGCAGGAGTCGGCGGTGGCCGATTGCGTCGGCCTGCCAGACTTGCGATCCATCTCCACGCGGTGCGCTTGTCCAGAGTTTTGGTGTTTCTAACGGGCTTCCTGGGGTCTCCCAGGGGGCCTCCCGTGGAAGTTTCTCGGAGACGCCCCGGGGGGGCCCTCGCGGGCCTCTCGGCAGCTTCAAGGGTGCCTCTACGGCGCATCCTCTGCGGCCTTTTGGACGCTTCCTTGGGCCTCCAGGAACACTCTTGGAGGTCTCGCGAAGGTTTCTCGGGGGCCTCTTTGGAGGCTTCTCGGGGACCTCCTCGGGGCTTCGTTTGGCCTCGTGGGCTCGGCGATGCCGTCGCCGTTGGCTGCGGGTTGCTCCTCCTGCTCGATTCGCGGCGTGTTTCCCGTCGGCGAGCGAACGGCAGCGACAAGTGGCTTGGCCGATGCGCCCGCCGGTCCCCTTCCAGGAAACGCGCGCAGGAATGCCAGCAGCCCGTTGGCCGTCGACTGTTCACTTGCAGGCCGACGAGGGCAGTCGCCTCTTACGAGCAAGCCACTCTGATTGCACGCAGCCGGATCCCCGAAAGACTATTGCAGTGGTCTGCTGTCTGGCCGCGTGGAACAGGGGCGGGCGCGCCTGGCGCGAATGTGGCGCATGTGAAATCATTCACGCTCTTGATGGAACGGAAATAGAGTCAAGAAAACCTTCCAACTGATACACGCAGAAAGAAACCTACATGACGCAACTCTGGATCCGCCCTGGGCGCTTGACTCAGGAGCACCCTAGGAGGGCCCTAGACGGCCCCCGACGGCCCCAAGACGGCCCGGGAAGGCCCCAGGAGATTTCAGGAGGGCCCGCCGAGCGTCCCCAGACGGCCACGAAGGGCCCAAGATGGCCCAAGATGGGCCCAAAAGGGCCATTCGACGGCCCAGCGGGCGCCCCAGATGGCCTAAGGGGACTTGAAAACGACTCCCAAGAGGCCGCCGGGAGGGACACATTATGCGACTTCCTTAGGTTCCATGACACATTTTGCATTCTCGGCCCCTCGGTCTCCAGAGCGCCCGAGACGGCCGAATAGGCACCCGAGATCGCTCCAAGACGGTTCCAAAGGCGCCCGAGAGGGTCCCGAGCCCCCGAGGGCCCCAAGACGGCCCAGGAGGTCCCGGAGGGCCCCAAGACGGCCCAAGCGACCCCGAAGAGGGGCCACCCGGGACCTTGCATTGGCACAGCGACGGTCAGAACATCAGCACACACACACGCGCACAGTATATATATACATATGTGTATATGTATATGTATATGTATGTATGTATGTATGTTTGTATGTATGTATGTATGTATGTATGTATGTATGTATATGCACAAACATATGCACACATGATTGCATGCCTATGTGTTTAGGTACGCACGTGTTGACTTATACATATGTATATACGTATATGTGCGTACATGTATGTATGTATGTATGTGTATATGTATGTATGTATGCATGTCTACACATGTATCTATACATATATGCATATCTGCGTATCTGTATATATGTATGTACTGATACACTGCATAACTACGCATGTAGTATATGTGCATGTTTTGCACATGTGTATGTATACGTGAGTGTACGTATACATGTGTAAAGTGCACACACCGATTTCACATACATACATACGTACAAATGTGTAGACATACCCACAAACATACGTACACACATACATGCATGCATGCATACACACACATACATACATACACACATACATAAGTACATAAATACATACATACATGCATGTAAACATACGTACATACACACATACAGACATCCACACATGACAACATACATAGATACGCACACTTACACACATACATACATAGATGTATGCATGTACATATACACATACATATGTTATTCTGGGGGACGAGGCCCTCTGGCCGACCCCATGGCAGGGGCCGCGGGGGGGGGGCGCTCGGGAACGCTCGCAGACGGCCCACGGCAGTCCCGAAACGTGCTGACAGGTCCCCACGACGTCTCCAGGACGGTCCAATGGAGCCCGAAGTCACCGAAACATCACCCCAATACTCCCGCAATTGTCCCGAAGCGGTCCAAGAACACTCCACGATGCTCGAAGAGGCGTCCAACAGGTCTACCACAATGCACCCAAGAGGGCAACATCTTCAAAATATTCCGGGGAAGCGCACATGTTCACCGCATGTTTTTTGTTCGCTTTTCCGACGCTCCAGGACAGCCCAAGAAACCCCGAATACCGCCTCAATTCAGCCCGCGCGGGCCCCAGGAGGCCCTGAGACAGGCCAAGAGGGCCTCAAGACGGTCCAAGAGACACCCAGGGTGGCCCGCGAGGGCCCCAAGACGGCCTTCAGAGGGGCCCAAGGCAGGGTAACCGCACAGAACGTCCGAGCCTTCCGCCCCAAGACGCCCTTGGAAGACCCCAGGAGGCCCCCAGAAAGCCCCCAAGAAGCCCCCACAAGACCGAAAACAGGCCCCAAGGGGGTTTTAAGAAACGCCAACAAGACCCAACGCGCCGCAACGGACTCCAAGACGGCCCTCGAGAGTTTGTTTTTTTTCCACGGCATGCCGACGAACACCCAAGTAAACTCAGCCCAACAGCGCTCCAAGATGCCCAGAGGTCGGGACCCTTTCTGAGGCGCTGGCTGTTCATCCTGCGTCGAGTTTTGGCAATCCCGGGGCCCAGGGGACTGAGTCGTTTGGCTCGATGTTTGGCGTCGTGCAGGGCAACGTTTGGGAGTTCAGTGTCCGGCAGTGCGAAGGGGCGGGAAGCGCGCTAGAGTCTGGGGAAGATCGGTGGGCATGCAAATCGTTGACTGGCGCACGAGGTCACGGTCGCGCTCCCCGCGAGCTAGTTAGCACGGCTTGGCTCCAATTAGGAAGCGGGGGGGGGCCAAAAGCCAGGTAGGTCTTTATTTTATGTTTGGCTCGAGGTTCGCGGGGTGCTCGATTTGTCTTCCCGCATCGAATTGAACATGCGCTGCTAGGCTGCTGATGTATCTTCGACAACGATGCTGCGCGAACTGGTCTTGGCGATGGCATATGCGTTCGCTTCCATTGTTGGCGCTGACGTGCAGGCGTCTGTTGAGTGGGCCGGGCATTTCTGAGGCGGCCTCATCGACGACCCCATTCACAAAGGTGAGCTCTATGATACCCAATTTGCAACGTGGGTGCACGGAGGTCTCTCGCAACCACGAACCTGCGCCTGCTGTGGCAATCCGAATTTTTGAGGAGTGTGCCAAGTATGTCAGAGACAACGACCACCCAGGCTTCAAAGAAGGCTGACTTCCGAAGCCTGGCTTCGACTGGGAAGGGCAGACGCATAGTAACCCGCAGTGCATGCCTCGCTGCGGGTTCGAATCGCACGGCCGGCGCGAGATGGCCAGCGCGCGCCGAAGTCCTGCCGGAACCCTTCTATCGCCGGCACGCAGACACCATCCCCGTCATCGGCGTGATCAGTATCGGCTCCTCTCTTGCCTCGTCATCATGGCCATTG